GGAAAGTGGATATCCCTGTCTTGTTATTGATCTTAAGGGAAATGTTTTAAGTTTATCCCTGTTGAGTAGGATATTAACTGCAGGTTTGTCATATATGGCTTTTATCATGTTGAAGTATGTGTCCTCTATTCCCACATTGCTCAGAGTTTTTAATCATAAATGGATGTTGGATTTTGTCAAATGCTTTTTCTGTATCTGTTGATATGATCATATGATTTTTGTCCTCATTTTGTTTATCTCATGTATTACATTAATTGATTTGCAAATATTGAAACAACCGTCATCTCAGGAATACATTGTATAAAAAAGTGTATTTGTGATTATATCTTAAGTTATTTATGGAATCATTTAATGTAATAATAAAATTACATAAACCTAATTTTTGCAGATGATTGAATTTTTAAACATGGTTTCACAAGAAGGAATGCTTGGAATCTCAGAGCTCTCATCCTACTTTTATTTTTGTGTTTTCTTTTGTTTTCTCCTTAGATTTGTCTGTTGCTTTAAGTATAAAGATACTTGCTATATTTTAATGGTGCCTATATGATTACTTGAAAGAAAGAAACTCACTTTTTTTCCTTTGTAAACTTGCTTTTTCAAATACATTAGAATAGAGAGTAAGGGGTGAAAGAAACAATAAGTATTCATACTTTAAATTGAAAACATGCTATCTCATCTAAATGTAATTAGAGGGGAAATCGATTTGAATCATTTATAAAACTGATTAAGGAGAGTCAAAGCATCAGATACATTTTATTATATATGTTAATTTTTTGAGATGTAAAACAATTGTAGCCACTTTATGAGAACAAGAAATTATTTTCTGTCTATGGACTATTTCTTCTACTTCTTAAGGGTAACTTAAATGTTAAATTTCAATCTTTAAAGCTATGAAAAACTAATTAGTCTCTTTGGAAGGATCTGAAATCTTTCTTTGTTTTACCATTCTGCGATGTCAAATAAAAATAATTCCATTGAGTTTCTGTGGTGGATTTTTCTGAGCACAAGCTTTATTGCAGCTTAATATGTTTTAATAGGTATTTCACAATTGCGATTAATGCTTGGTTAGTATTTTGATTGACTATACAGTTTTTATAAATTATTTGCAACATTAGTCATGTGTGCTTAAACATGCTGATTAAAGTTCTTTTGATTCAAGGAGTTCTAATTTTTAATTTATGTTTAGTACTGTTAGTGACAAGGAATCCTTACCTAATTTTTAAATAAAATATTTTTCCCTCCTAGCAACATGATGCAGAAGTTGCACACTTAACTGAGGTTCTCAAGGATAAAAACAAAGAAAGCAAGAGGCTAAGGTCTTCTTTTGATGCTTTGAAAGAATTGAATGATAACTTAAAAAAACAGGTAAGATCCATTTTAATATATATTAGATTATAAGACATTCTTGGTACTATATGGTTTATATTTAACAAATTATAAGTCAATCTTAGAACATCTGGCTAGAGAAATGTTTGATTAACTTTGCTTGTAGCTTTATTACAAAATACTTCTAATATAAAATATTCTTAAGCTTTTGCTTTCTCATCATCTGTTCTGGCAACCAGCTGAGAAGTTTGGCAAGTTGAAATTTTTAAAAATATAAAAGCAAGTACTATATTTAAAAACAAGCCAAAGGAAAAACCCCAATAACCTGGGGACTTTTAACTGCTCTTAAGTGCTTATTTAATATTTATTTATTTTGTGGGTATCTATTAATATACTAGGCACTGTACTAGAAGGAAGTCTTTACATTGTTCATACTCTTGTGAGTATATTAGTAGACTAGTATCATATTGCATTGTAATTATTTATTTATACTAGAGGCCTGATGCACAAAAATTTGTGCACTTGGGGGGTCCCTCAGCCCTGCCTGTGCTCTCTTGCAGTCTGGGACCCCTCGGAGGATGTCCACTTGCTGGCATAGGCCCGCTCCCCAGGGGATCGAGCCTAAGTTGGCAGTCAGACATCCTTCCGGCAGCCCGGGAGCCCTCAGGGGATGTCCACTTGCCAGCGGGGAGCAGGCCTAAGCTGCAGTCTGACATCCTTAGCACTGCTGAGGAGGCGGGAGA